GTACCTGACGAGTACTACTTGAAACTGTCAAGTTCATCAAAAACAAGGAAAGTTTGAGAAACTGTCACCAGTCAAAGTAGCTAAAGGAGACCGGTTGACTATATGCAGTTTCCTGGATGAGATCCTGCAGCAGAAAAAGAACATTAGCTAAAAACTAAGGAAATCCAAATAAAATATGGAGTTTACTTAATAATAATGTTATCACTATCAGTACACTAGTTGTGACAACTGTACCATGATAATGTACGATGTTAAAAATAAGGGAAACAGGATGCAGGTTATATACACTATACTATCTTATGCATCTTTTCTGTAAATCTAAAACTACTATAAAATAAAAAGTTTATTAAATATATATAGTGTGTACATATTATAATAAATATATGTATTTGCATTATATACATTTATAGGTATAAATCTAAGTAAGCATATACATTATATATTATAGAGAATATATAAACATTTATATAAATTTATATGCTTTATACACACACATATATATTGTGTGCATATGTCATTTACTTTTATGTAGTATTTATTATCGCTTACTTGCAAAAAGATTTTAAAAATCTTAACTGATAAGATGAGTAATCCTCTAAGGATAACATTCACATGATTTAGGTGTATGTCCATTGGACCAATAAACTCATTTGGTTAATTATTTAGCAATAGGCAATGATTGGGAAAGTCAACAAAAAAAATCTTAATAAATTTTTATTGAAGCTAATGAGAGTAAATTGGCCTACCCACAAGTGTGAGGACACATTCAGATTCTCCAGGACTGCTCTACAAACTTTGAGCAACCTCCAGTGGCTAGAGAAGTCATGCATAGATAATGATCAAAAATATTAGAGACAAAAGTAGTATTTACTCTGGGGGAAACAGCTTTTCAAAGAAATCAGTGTTAATTCTTCAAGAGATCATAGAAGCATTTGAAAGGAATATTTCCATGTGATAACTATTGAATTTCAGATCATTTCTCATGAAGCCTCTGTTAGCCATAATCTTTAACACTCATTCATCTTCACTGTTACTCTATTGATTCCCAAACTGATGGATGATTGAAGATTTTGAAGTATGGTTCAGAACAGCAGGTCTCATTTAAGTAGAATTGAGGAAGCCCCAGTGCAGGACTGATACATAACCTTCTTTTCATTATGTTCACGTTTCTTTGCTAAACATCTTGTCATAATGGGTCATTTGGTTGTCACTGAAGGAACTGATACCATCTTGTCTCAGATTTCTGTATTCAAAGCCCCCAAGTAAGGCAAGAACACTCGCGCATCACCTTTTACACCTGGTATTTTCTAGACTGCTGATGCTTCTGGAGTGCAACTGTAAAGCAGCTGCAAATTAGGTTGCAAACAAATGTTGCCCAAGGCTCAAACCATAAAATAAAGTAATGATCACTTCAAGATGAAACTTTTTTTTCTGTCTTTTAAAATCAGAATGAAAGTAGGTCAATGAAATTTAGGATATTTTAGAGTATGTACAGTATTGTATTGTTTGCCAGTACCTAATTTACAATTACAGAGCTCCATGAATATTGAAATGATTCAGCTTCCCATTATAAATGTATGTGGCAGTTTGGTTGTTGATCAGTTTATGAAGTTAATGCAAATGGAACTGTCTTCCTGTCAGCATTTGAAATCTATAATGCAGTCATGTTGTATATTCAGGGACAGGCCATTGACAGTCAATTAACAAGTTTGATTGGTATGTCAACTCATTCTTTTGAATTGTTAATAGTATGTTAATAGCATTCATTTCTTTGTGCAGTCCCATTTGCAGCTTCACAGTTACAGCTATTTTTTATAATTCTGAGTAACCTAAAATAGTGCCTTAATAATAGATTATTAAACACCTGTCTAGTGTAGCTTAGGGAGGTTTTTCTAGACTGGGAGTTTGCAGTGGATCCCTTTGATATTCAAATCAACAAATGATAGCCTTTTTATTTGAAACGTAAATTCTTTTGATGGTTAGCTTGTTAAGAAATATTCAGCTCTAGTCTGACCTGATCTGGTTTCCCATGGAAAAGATCTGATGCCGTTTGAAGGTTCATAAATGGAATGCCAATGACAATTTGTTGTTGACGTTCTGCCGCCTCAGTCCTCAGATGCTGCTGGTTGATGTGCTGCTTTAGCTTCGCCCAATAATCCTTGCAGGTAAATGATCTATGGATTGATCAGCTCGTTTCAAAGCAAAGAGGGCTCTGCTGTGGTCTGGATTTTTAGGCTTGGAGGGGTACTTAAAAAGATGCATCAAAGTTGACAGATGAATCTTAAGGCATAGAATGATAGGAGAAAGCAGAAATGTGGGAATTTTTTTAAGAGAGTAGCATATTACTTGGAGTTTTGAAAACCTTCAAATGTCGATCAAATCTGTTCCCCATAGCAGATTTATTTCTACCTTGGTTTTTGTTATGGTTGTTTTGTCTGTGTGCACAGGTTTACTCTCACTTTTCTGGGGAAGTTGATGAGACATTAAACGTATTATTCCCGAATGGTGCTTTGGAATAAGGTTGCGAGTTCATTTGCACAGCCATGTTTTATTCATACAGTTCCTGTACACAAGAATATAAGAATCTGCCATTTCTCTAGCCTAAAAAACTATCTCTACCAAGGAAGCAGTAAAAATTTTATTCCTTTTACCTCCTGTTCATCACTTCTCCTGATGATGCTTTCCACGACCTACTATTTATATTTAATTTCATCGACAGAAGTTTCTTTATAATATGGGGGGAAAACTCCCACTGATGTAGTTTAGATATTTAGTTAATATTTTTCTGTTCTCTGCTTCAGTGAATTTGGAGGAGCAATTTGCTTGTGTTTGACTTTTAGAATTAAGTGGTTCTTGAGAGATTGCTACTCAAATATCCTTCATATACAGATAAAGAAACTGAGACATTGAGTAAGACCTCACAGCTAGTCAATGCAGAGCCAGGTCTCTTTATTTCTACCTTGTATACATTCTGCTTGCTGCCTTTAGAAACACATAGAAGCTCAAGGGAAGGTTGATACAATTGTAATACACAGTCCTCACCTAGACACAGAAAGTCACTGAAGTTTTCTAGCCATTGTATAAAAAGCTATGTACTATAGTTTAAGAACTATACTTGACACCAGTAAAGGAAATTAACTACTGTCTTTGACAGTTTGTTTGTTCACCTCTGACCTTGGGCAGGACCATAGAACTTAAGATCTATCTTGGGATCAGGGAAGGAGAGGAAGAGAAAGAGACATGCAAGTATTAATTAATAACAGACTTTATTGTGTCATCTTCTATAACCCTCCAGCAGTGTTTTTCAGAGTATATTTCTTAGATCACTAGTTCCACGAGATGCTTGGCCAACAAAAAAAAGGTTGTGTCTAGAGAATCAAGTCATATATGTCCTTAATCCACTTACAGTGTCACAGTGCTTGTTGGCAGAGTAAAGACTCTACAGAGTCCTGTCCTAAAGAAACTTGTTTATCTCTACTTAACCCAGGATTCCAAAAATACTTTGAACACAAAACCTTTTTTTTTTATGTTTATATGTTTGTTTCTTTTAAAGCCAGTGAATATCTTTCATGGAAATTGGGGGATGCTTAAACACCTTTGGGCAAACTGTTTAATTTCTCTGTGGTTCAATTTCCTCTTCTATAAATGGAGATCATACTAGTACCATTGGCATGAGGATTAAGTGAGCTAATATATGCAAAACATTTAGAGTAGTGCCTGTCACATTGTGTTATGTAACTATTTGCCATTGACATTATTTACTAATTGTAATATTGTAGTTTTACTATTGAGACCAGTGCCATAGTTTTATTGGCTTTGGTTTCCTGGATGTATTCATGTAGTAAACTTTATATAAGGTGTGGGGTTGGAACTAGAGATGTTATGAGTCAATAGGTTAAGGTGGAAATAAGGAGAAGGAGACATGTAAGCTGGTAAGTTATGGAACAAAATGGGAAGGGCAGTTTCAAAGTTAATAACTGAAGCTCTATGGAGTGCTGATGACAGAGAGTCTCATGCCAGCTCTAGGAAACCCCAAAGCTTTTAGTTGGTAGCTGACAAGCTACCAGATGTCTCAGAAACTGCCAGAGAAGAAGGGATATTCCAGAGAGAGAAAGAGAGACCAGTTTTACCTTCTGTGAAGGAGACTAAAGAATCTGGGGAATGAGGATAAGTATAAGATCTTGGTTGTACCAAGTGTGTGTGGCAAGCTGACAGGGTAGATTGGAGCCCAAGTATGAAGGATTTTGTATCCACACTCCGAAGTTTGAGTTGTATCCTGCAGACAACAAAGCGAATAGAGAATTTTTATGTATGAGAATGACATGATCAGCCTTGCTTTTTAGAAATGAAACTTGACAAAGAGGAGGGAGGCAGGAAAACATTGTTTGAGTCTGGACTGAGGCAGTGGCTGTGGGGATGGAGAGGACATACAGAGATGAAAGAGACATTTCTGAGGCAGAACTGGTGAAAGTCCACGACTGATTCATTGGGAGAGAGGAACAGAAAAAAAGAGGAACAAAGGATAAGACTGGTACATCTAGTTTGGGAGGTGTGAAAATCATGACTTAATTTAATTGCATAAATAGAGACTGTGTTTTTCAAAAAGAAACTTCCATTTGCCACAGCCTGCCATCAGTTTTAGAGCTCTAATCTTCTTCTCAAGGAAGACTAATTGAATACCTATGTAGATTGCTTGATACAACTCGTGAAAACTACTAGTAGTACAAATCAAAAGTGACGAACTCACTAACTTACTGGAGGTATATGGGAATATACACCTAAAAATTCAATGTAAAATGCCATATACAAAGTTAAAAACTGTAGTGAAAAATTGCCTCCTTATCTGCATGCTCACATGGTTTTACATGTGGCTCTGCTAAAACACTTCTAGTATTTTATTGTGTTTGTTATGGCAATGCTTTCCTCCTCTTTCCTCTTCTCCTTTCTCATTCTGAGTTTCTTGGATCCTGGAGCTTGTCTCTCTATATTTCCAGACCCTTCCCGACTTCTGATGCATAGTAAGTGCCTAGTGAATGGTGAAGATTTATAATACATGAGACACCATTCCTCTAACTTCATTCTGAAAATAGAAATTCAAACAATATTCATCATTGTTAGTTATAAAATGCCATATAAGAACTTTTGCATAATGTGTTACTTGTACCTTTAAAACACTGAGATTGTATTGGCCTCCCAAATAAATTTGAACTGCCATGTTACAAACTTAGTGGAAGAATAAGCCCAAACTTTTAGTTTGATGATTATCAAATGTCACTTTCTCTGATATTCACAACACCTCACATTGTGGTGAGGATATTTGAGACCTTGTGTTTTAACCATAAGCCTCTTTTCCCTTTTATGGAACTGCTTTTTGGCCTGGCCTTCTGTTTCAAGACCCAGGAGTCCTGTTCATCGCCTTCTGGCGATGTTAAGCCACTAGATTATATCTTACACAATTTTATCAGACATTGGTTGACTGTTCTTCCTATTACCTCATGTTCTGCTTATAAGTATTCCAATCTAATTTTATGTTGTGCCAGTTTTCCCCATTCCCTAGCATATCACACAAACGTAAGTGAGAGCAGAAAGGACATTATCAGCTCCAAATTCAGAGCTAATATGCTATTTTTTAAAGTTGTTCTTAACTCCCAAATTGGAGCAGCATATTACTTTCTCCTCTCTACTCTATTTAAGCAATACCAAGATTATAAATCTGTCCTGCAAAGAGACAAGAAGTAAAAAATAACCAATATAAAGACTGTGGAAAGTCTTAAAAGTTTTAATAATTATTCATTCCACCATAAAGAATTTTACATAAAATAATTTATCCATGCCTTTGTTACCCCCAGGAATGAAGATTTATACCATGTATTTTTTCTAAGATTTCTAAGATTTCTTTTTTTTTTTTTTTTAGGAAAGGAATTTATGCTTTCAAAAGGGAAGGTGACCATGAAAACTCTCTCATTCCTAAACCTGTTCTAATCTAAATATCTAACTTTTTCAATCTAGATATATTTTTTCTGTTCAATTTTTTTTCTTTCATCACCAGTTTTTTTTCCTAATTCCCTGTAATATGCCAAGTATTCTCCAAATTGCAGATTAATTTTATCCACAGGAATGAATATAGTTCATAAAAGGCTGCTTTCTCAAGGAACAAGTTGAGGGATTATAGTCCCTGAAAATACATAGGCCATCTCATTTTTCAATAAAATCCTAATTTGTTCAGCCTTATATTAGACTTTTTTAAATATGGACCACTTTTTCTCCAAGTAATTACAAAATATCCCAAAGGTCTGGAATTTTGTAATGTAATTCTGCAGTTTCCTCTAGTTCTGTAAGCTTGCCATCTTTATTCATTGTTAACTCTGATACTTGAGACATATTTTCATTTGATATTATTAGAGTACAGAAGAAAAACTATAATGCATAAAGCTTTAAGTACTACTTCTCCTTTAATTATATAACCATTATTGGGAATTATATCCATAGCTCCTCCTGACTGGGTGAAATTCTAATTTCATTGGTGTATATTGTCTGTGTTACAAAATTCTTGCCATTTAAATAAATCAGAAATAGTTTGTCACTTGCATGGTATATGCCTTTAGTTACACATGGATTTCTAATTTTTTTGTACATAAGGATTGCATCATGGACAAACTGACATGTTAGCAGGCCCTATGCACCATTTACCATTGATTTTATACTGTCGTCCACACCTTTCCCCTTAAAAATCAGTACAATTTAACTCTCAGATAGTTTGGCTCTATGAATGTATGACAGCTAAAGCCAAATGGTGCATACAATGATCATATCTGGCCACTTTGACATCTACCTGGTTTTATTTTGGTTTTTTGATGCACAGGTTTTTTTTGCTTTTACCATTACTATTTTTTAAACTAGCACAGTGAAACCAGCAGAAAGCACCAAAAACAATATGTCAAGGAGGCAAAGAGATACAGTCAAGACTTGGAAATTGTACGCATGTTACTGTATCTTTGGCATGGGGATAATTGCATGCTAGAGAAATAGTTACAGACCCCCATTCAGGTATTTCCCCTCCTCTCCCAAATGAAGCAGATCTATAGTCCTCAAATTCCTATTAATTACCTGGGGCTAAAGAGATTCATTTTCAGTAAGTTGAGAAATCCAGATTTATTTTGTGACTCAGTAGAAGTTACTTGGTGGCGAGAAAGTGAATTCCAGTAATGAAAGCTGGCAGGCCAGGATTTGTGCTCCACTCTGTTGGCATATGAAATTACAGCACATCATTCAAACAAAATCAACCAACTTTTATGTCCTTTGCTAGGTACAGTGAAAATTTTATTATTCTGCGATTATTTTATTCTTCTTGGATTAGGTCATGTGCTGTAGCAATAAGAAACAGCTCAAGTGGGTAGAATTTGCAAGATCAAAACTTGTGTTTTTACCCACGTACGGTAATGATCAGATAATATTCAAGGTACAATGCTATAAAAGTCAGATTCTTATTTCCTTAAATCATCCCTGTAATATCCTGAATGATATGTGGTGTTTCAGTTTACCTAAAGAACAGAATTTTTCCCCTCAGAGTGGAAAGAGTTTTATAAGCAGTGGTATTCCTTAATCGAGGCAAACAAAACAGCAAGAGACAGTTTGTCTCAACATCAAATTTTCTCTACATGAACAAGGAGGGGAAATCTGATCCTATTCTTTCATCCTTTGATTTAGCTTCTTCTGTGTCACTCTTTTTCTATGGAACAAGAGTATTTTTATAGAAAAGACGGATTGTTCTTAGGGAAGGTCTACACAGCCATAAAAGCCAGGTAATAAATTTACTTTAAAGCATCAGCTCCTAAAGTATGTTTGCATAGTAAAGTATGGACCAGGCCAAAATCCAGGCTTAAACATTTTCTCCTTGTTATCACCTCGTTAAGCTTCCCACGTCTAAGCCATGCCTCCTACAGTCACAGGTATGGTGCCACTAATTAAGAAGAAGGGGCTCATTACAAATTCTCATTAACATCAATTGGAGTTTTAAAGCCAAATCCCTGGACTGAAAATTTACCCCCTTAATGTTCAACACAGGTGAACGAATAAAATCGTTTAAATGCCTGTATCATGGGGTAGTGCAAATGTGCTCTCCAAGGATGAACGAATTGCTTACTGCGGTCTGGCAGTAATCCCATTGCTCAGTAAAAGGCAGACAGAGCTTTGAAGAAAAATACTATTCAAAAGGGAGACACTGACAGAGAAACGGGTTGGGTAGTGGTAGCTGGTATCACAAAGTACAAATTATCATCTATGTTTCATCTTTGGAAAGGATATATAGATGAACGAAATAAACAAAAGATTGCACCTGACAATTAACTGCTCAACCAATATCATCTGAATTAATGAATGAATAAAAGTTCACCACTGTGGTTTGACCTGCTAATGAAACTTATCTCTCAGATGCTTTTAGTATTTGCTTCAGAATGTCCTGCATTATATTCCTTAAATCTTCTGTGATTATAATTTCTTACAGATAACACTGTAAATTATGTTGTTGTGGGAGACTCTTGGGTTAAGACATTTCAAAATGCTTAATTTCATGAAAGTTAAAACGTATTGATTTGGTTGATTTGAAAGGACTGTTTTGCAGTTCACTGAAGTGATAAGCCATATGGAAATAAGTCTTCTTGGAAAATAAAAGCAACCTTATCTTGTACAGATAAGGCTTTCTCTCTTTTGTAAACCCAAAGGCTAACCAATTTTTAAACTAAATTTCTGCTTTCCCTCATAATCCCTCTTCTTTACCCCATGATAAAAACAGTTACCCAGAAATGTTTACAAGATTACTGTGTGTTCCTAAACTATGTGTGGATTGGGGAATTTTTTCTGGTTTTATACAATCTTGAGTTGTATGATGGATTCTTTTATAAATTGTTCATATTTCTCCAGAGTGGGCATGTTGTTGATATTTAAATCACATTAACAGTATGTACCATGATTAGCCTCACCCAGAAAGTGTAATGACTGTGGTTTAAATTTCTCCTGAGTGCCAGATTTCTTCATGATGTCACTACCTGTCAGTGGTGGTTACAGAATCATTGCACACTGTAACTAGAAGAAGCCTTCAAAGCTCCAAGCTCTAGTTCATTCTTCACATTGTATAGATAAGGAAGCTGAACTCCAAGAAGTATAATTGACGTTCCCAAACTCACAAGCAATGATAGGCCCCCAACTGGAATTTTGATCTTCTGATCCCTCTTTTAGCCCTGGTGTTAGTAGCCAACTCAACCCAAGTATGTAGCAGAAGTTGAGAATTTCACCCCTCCTTCCCAAAGTTGTTCTAAATTTGTAGCTGATCAGAGTGAAAGAAACCCTTCAGAAAATATTCTTCTAGATATATGGGAAGATAGATATTTTACTTAAGACAGGCCTGCTTTATAAGCCTTATAACCTTATAAGTGTTAACTTTTCATCTTTTCACCTGCTTAAAAATTGAAAGACAGTGATAATGGATGCATAAATGCATCATGGGATGAATAAATTGTGTGAGTTAGAGAAGAGAAAATGAATGTGTTCGTGAAAGAGCGAGCACATCAATCAGTGGTTGCATGGTGTTTGCACCAGTGTGTCCAGGGGACACCTCACCAATCAATCATTCAAGAAGCTCCCTCCAGCTTTCAGAAGGAGAAAAAGATTTCACACTGAAGTGCAATAGAGAAAGCTTAGAATTTAAAGAGGTCATTCCAGGGGTTCTTCTAGTTCCCAGAGGGGAGGGAAAAATGGAAAGGGGGCAAAATGCCATAGAAAGCAGATAGTTTGGAATTTTTTTAAAAATGTTGATTGCACTGTGCATCATTCTCATTTTATATTGATTCAAAAATCATTAATTAAGCATCATTTGTTATATCCCACTCTTATCTGAACATAAAAATATTTGACATTTGTTTATAGCTTCTGCCTTCAAGGAGCTTAAAGCTAAAAAGCGTTTACTCTTTAAAGCTTCCATCACTGTGCCGAATTATAATCCAGTACTGCTTGGGGTTTTATTTTGTTTTGTTTTTGAGCATCAAACATTCACTGGAAATGTTTCAGTTTTATGAATCATTCATCCAATAATTATTGGTCATGTGCAAGATACTACTCTAACTGCTGTATTGAAGTAGCTTCTACACTGGTAAGTCAAATAAAATTATTATGTAAGTAATGATGCAAGATAGAAAGGAATTAAATGACAGAACTGGATAGGCAACATCATCTGTTCGCAAATACCCAAGGAGATAAAGAGAACCACAGAAATATGAGTAAGTTTATCCAAAATACTCTCATTACTGAGTTGCAGACCTGGGAATATGTTCCCCAAATGGCTCAGTTTTCAGTAATATGTGCTGCTGAAGGTAGTGTCTCATTTGCATAGCTAATTATTGAAATGTCTTAATAAAGTGTTGCCCAGTAGTGAGGAGAGGCAGCTACTGACAATGAAATGATTTTGTAAGCGGGAAGTCATTCTTGCCACACACTCCTGACAGCAGGATTTCATTTACTGCTTATGGTCACTCTTTCTTTGCTGGCTTTTCCAGTCAAGAAATGGAGAAAATCTCAGTTAGGATTATCATCAAAGTGGGATTGTATAGAAAAACCCCAGCAGCCAAACGACAACTGAGTGTATCCATTCCACCCTAAGAAAACCGGTATCAGTCATGGTGTACAATATGAAAACTGCAGCATCTAAGACAGTCTAAGTACATGGTGGTTAGCATAGAATTTGAAAGCATCAGTGTGGGGATTGGGTGGATAGGGTTTGAGTGCTGCCTTTGCCATTTGTTAGCTACATGACCAAAGATTTCCCTTTCTCATATGTATTAATGTTATAATAAAAGATGGTAGTGGTTGCAATTTTCCTCCCTTTTCCTCCTCTGTCACTCTTAAAACAGGTAACAGCCCTTTCTTTAAAATCCTGAAACTCTTATCACATTTTGTCTTACAGGGTACCATAGGCTCATCTGTTGCCCCACTTGCTTATAAACTATTTGGAGACAATAATCTCTTGAATTCTCTTAGTGCCTAAACAATACCATATACATAACAGGCACTGAAAATTACTATTGATTTGAATGTTATGGATGATGACAAAGAAGCCAGCTGTGCTGAAGGCCATATGAACAATTCATAAATCCTTACCAACCATCCCAGTTTGATTAGTATCACTATGGATTGAAAGTAGCATTCAACCCCTAAGTAATTTTCTGATCTTGGGAGTTTTCTGCTGCTAACAACAATGATAGCTATCATTTATTGAGGGCCAATTATAAATCTGGTATTTTCCATGCATTAACTCACATAGGCCTCACAATCAGCCTCCACAAGAGTTATTTTAATTCCCATTTTAAAAATAACACCAAAATAGGGATAACTGGTGGGTTCAGTCTTTTAAGCATCCAAATCTTGATTTTGGCTCAGCTCATGATCTTGGGGTCCTGGCACTGAGCCCTGCAATGGGCTCTGGGCTCAGTGGCAAGTCTGCTTGAGCTTTCTCTCTCCCTCAACCTCTGCTCCTCATCATGATTCAGTTTTCTCTCTCTTTCTCCCAAATAAATAAATAAGTAAATCTTTAAAAAAAAAATAAAACAACATCAAAATAAGACTTAGGAGGCTGTTATGTAGGTAGTCCCAGCTCATACAGCTTAAAAGTAGAAAAAAAAAATCTAGATTTTAATTCAGGACTAATCCCAAAGGCCCATGTCATTGTTGTGCTTTCTCTTATTATTCATTATGGGCCCTAAATCCAAAATTTGCCTAATTCCATTTTTTTAAGTGGAAGTATGATCTCTAGTAGTGAAATTCAGAGGTGAGTAAAACACACACTTACTTATAAATAGAATTTCATTTAAATCTCCATAAGACTTTCTTAGCCCCTTAACCATTAATTTCAGAATTCTCAGGTCCAGTGTCCTCAACAGCTCACCAGATGATACAATTTGTGTAAGCCACTTATTACCTACCCATCAGTTTTGTCCACTATGAACTACAGATGGTGTTTATCAGAATACATTAAGTGTGTCACAGAAAGCAGTACATAAGAATCTGGGTCAGGAAGCTACTTAGTAACTAAATGACTTCCAGATTATATTTTTAAATTATATTTTAATTATATTTAAATTTATGTTTTTTAATTAAAGCAACAATTCTTAACTACTGGTTACTATCTAAACTCGTCAAATTACACCAGCTTATAAGTAGTGATGGTCTACAGAAAGGACATCAAAATCCAGGGAAGATAACCCTTAGAATACATAAGAATCATAGATACCCGAATATCAACAACACTCAAGGTTTCCTAACATATGATTATAATAAGGCAAATTCCTTTAAGAGATTACATGGCCTATAATTACTGGTTTTTAACTACCCCAAATTATCCCTGTTTGAAAAATGTCACCAAAATCCAGTGTGAAACCTCTGACTTCTTTCTTGTCCACTTATCTTGACCTATAAGTCAACTGTATAAAATGAAATGATTATTTCTCCATGAATACTAAAATGCTGACTTAATATGTCAGATAAGTGACATTTCATATATATATATATGTATGTGTATATATACATATGCATACACACACACATACACACACACACACACACACACATAATGAGACTAAGAACATAAAACTTAAAGCCAGAAATCTGTATGGTTCTATATAAATAGTAGATTAGAAAGCACTTAGTTCTTTGATGCCCTCTAATCACACATTAAAATAAGCATATGTAGTAGTGGTATTTCAGTATGCTATTAGTCACAGTGTTTTTTTGGTTGTTTCTTTTTTAACTAAGAAAGTATTCATACCACAAATTAGACTTTGAAGGAACCATCAGTAGTTTCTAAGCTGAGTATCCTGTGACAGCAGTATATTTTCCTACAGCCCGGACAACAGATATAGCACACTGTAGGAAAGAGTAATGTTGTAAGCAGATACCTCAGTACAAGGAATTCAAATATTTGAAAAATAATTCTCCATTCTAAAAGCTAAGACCTGGAATTCTAGGTTTTTATGAATTTGAAGTTTTAAAACATTGTGTACCCTTGTGAACATACACACTCAAAACTACGTCTGTGATTGAAGTGTCTGTGAAATTGCCCTGCAGATGGCTCTCTCTGTTCTCTCTGGAGCCAGTGGAAATTGGGCAAAAGAGAAACTTCTCTTCTCTTAGTTCTCATATTTGGACCTCTTCTGCCAACAATTGACCCTTGCGCACCCATTGAGAGGGCACTGTCTTAGAATCAGACCCTGAATGAAGATCTGCGTGCAAGTGATTTGGGAGAACTGGGCAGGACAGGAAACAAAGGAAGCCTGGCATGGGGCAGACTCGGGCAGATATCCAGCATGCGGACACTGGAGTACACATCATGCCATAGGGTTGTCCCAACCCAGGCAAGGGAACTGGACTTCCTGACCCCTGAACTAGAAAGTCAGTGGAAACTCCCAGGCTGTCTGTTACTTGTGGGCCAAATGGTTCCAGTGGCCCAGGAAGATGTGGCTGTCACACCAGAGGGACATGAGTGCATAGAAATAGAAAGTAAAAGGGCTTCTGGGCAGAGTACTGACTTTGTTTGCAACAGGTTGTATCCCAGATACCAGAGATAGAAATAGAGCCCAACTTCAGATCTACATTTTCCTTGGTATCTGTTATGAATATTTGATTTTAGGATACAGAAATTGAGTAGCTCTTACTTCAGATGTAGTCTGCTCTGGTATTCACACGATACCATCAGGTTCCATTTCTCAGCTCTACTTCCTATGGGTTTACTCCATTGTGATATGACCTCCTACCAGTTCCAGTTTCTCTTCTTATTCCTTTGCAGTTCAAGCTTTCTATTTCCATACACTGGTCACAGATATGAGGGAATCCATATCTCAATTCCCACAGCAAAAATGCTGTACTATTTGCATTGATCCAGTTTAGATCATATGCTCAATCCTACTTCAGTTGATAAGACCATAGAAATGCAAAGTGTTTATTGGCTTAAGCCTGTGTTGCATGCCCATTACTAAATTTGGCTTAAATCCATGAGTGGAGTCAATATTATTCAAATGTCAGAGTTTGGACATTCAGAATAATATTAGGAAGGAAAAAAGGTGCATGTTAGGAAAGAAATTAATAGTTAACTACTAATCTCCTGTTCTTACTATAAATTTAGATTGGCGATGAGTCCTCTGTGCCTGTCTTTAAGGGCAGCTCGTGTTCAGCTGGAGATGAACTTCGAATTGCTACTGTCTTAATTCTCCAACTCAAGTTCTTAAGTCTTTGGAGTATTCCACGGAACCCCGATGAAGTCTAATACTATTCTTGATTTTGTATTATAATAACTCTACTTTTTATTTTAGACCCCGTACAAGCTTATAAAATCCAAAAAATTTTTAATTGCTTTCAACAACAAAAAGGACTTATTTTGTGCATACCATTTTATACCTTCCCCTCCCCCTGCCACTTAATGAGGTACCATGGACATGGTTTCATGTCTGTACATGTACCACCCTCTTCATTCTTTTTCATGGTTGTATGATTTTTCATTGGCGAGTTTATGATAATTTATTGTACCAATTATTTATGGACACTTAGGTTATTTACAAGTTATTTGCTATTGTAAAAATTTTTTCAGTTGAACATTCTTGTACAAAAGTCTTTGTATTCTTCTGCAACAATTTATATAGGACAAATTCCCCATAATGAAATTGCTGAGTGACTGTATGAGAATACAGATAAATATTGCCAGACTGACTAGGAAAATATTGTGCCATGCTCTTCCACATTGGCTCAACACTGGACCTGTCAACATTTTTCATCTTTGCAAATCCATAGAAGAAAAATATGGTAGAAGTTCTTATTTTAGTCATCTACATATCCTCAGATTATTTCTCCTCATTCCTTATATGTATACACTTCAGCTTCTCTGTCAGCTCTTGGTGATTACAATATCCTTTCAAAATAGTCAAGGTTGTCCTTTCAATACCTACCTACTCTTCATCCACAGACACCAAGACTCATAGTCATACACTGAGGCTTGTTATTTTACTAATAACAGCAAGCCCTCCATTTTCTTGTTGTTTGCCACCTCCTACCTGTCTAGTTAATTTCCTGTAGTTCTCTGATTCCACTAGGACCTATAATCATTAAACCTACCATCTCTTAATGCTTCTTAGTCCTTTGTCCTCCCTTCTTAGCTCTCCGTTGTCCTTCCTATCTTTGTTTCCCTGGGTAGATGTAATGGCCCATCATTATGATCACTCCATGGATTCACCCTCATCTTCCTTGCTCCTTTCTCTCCCCTTCCCTCCATTATGCTCACCTGACATAAATCCAACCCCAGTGAAATCCTGTTGACTGCACACTCTTTACCTGCACCTGGGCACCTAAACATGGCTAAAGAAAAAACACTGTTATACTGTCTACTTTAAATCCGTGAGCATGTACCCCAACTGAGCCCTTTGTGCTAATGCAGCAATCTTACTATATTCTCTAATCCATTCACTCCCCAACACTCCTTGATAACTAGTTCACAGTGTCTCCTCTCATCAACAGACCTCCAACAACTCTTCCTACCTCTTGACTCCCTGACGATGACCTTAATTCTCCAAGATAATGGAGGCAATCAGAGCAAAATTTCTACAATCTCCCACTCCACACTCAATATTCTATCTGCCTTCCTCCTGTTAATGCAAATGAACAGTCTGTGTACATATCTAAGGTCAATTTTGAGGCAAGGAAACTTGAAGTCTTAAATAGGAATACTGCCTATGGGGTAAATTAATTTTTGCTTATGGACTAGGCAAGGTAAGAGTGCACCAATTTGTTATTCAGCTCTTTGTTTATATGTTGACTTCATAGTGAACATACTCTGTTCATGTCATCGTGGAAATGAACAGGGCCCTGTTAGTCATTTAACTATCCCCTCATTTTACAAGTTGAGACTAAAGAGGTCAAATGACTTTCCCAAGATACATGTGTGTGTGTGTGTGTGTGTGTGTGTGTGTGCACATGCACGTACATGTGTGTTTTAAATGGGCAATTAGAGGAAAAATGGCAGGCAACATAGGGGAAGTTGCACAAATTTTTTTTCTGTGGAACTCACCAAAAATTAACAAATGAAGCAAAAACAAAAATAGAAAAATGAATGAATGCTAAATGCTATACCTAGGAAAAAATCAAATGAGTTATCTAAATATAAAATTATTTAAATCAAATTAGGATAAGATGGTAGGAATCTACACAGAACTCCTTTTCTATAGAATAATGTAATGAGGAGAAACATATTTGTGCATAGAATTATTTAAAAAAAAAAAGCCTCACTGATATTCTCCCAATTTTATCCTAAATTTAGAGGAATAAAAATTGGGGATAAAATGAGGCACATAAAAATATGTTGACTGTTTCCTTTAGGAGTAGCTGTCCTTTATTGTTTCAGTATGATAATCTGGAGTCCTAACTTGAAGAACCACTGTGCTTGGTCTTTTCTCTTCTGGGTCCAGGAGGAAAGAAAAGAGAAAAGGAGAATAATTTCTATGGATAAATGTGCTTCATCAAGAATGGCAAGCAGCAGCCAACAAAGTCAGGGAGGCAAGGGGGAAAAAAAAAAAGTGTGGTCAAACCATATGAACCACACCGGAAAGTATCTGGGTTATGCTAACAGGATCACAAGGTGAAGCACAGAGTACTTACCCACCTCTGAATTCTGTTGTATGAGGAGACTGAATGAAGTGCTGTCAAAAGCAGGATTTCCTCACTCTTTTCCCCAGCCCCTCAGATATCTGAGACACAAAACAAATAATACTGACCATTGGCATATGTCCACTATATATGTTTGAATAGAAAACTGAGTGCTTGGGCATTCAAGAAAGGAAAAGCAATGGGACTACACCCATACTATTTTGGAATAAGGTAGGCTTGAATTGAAGGACCCTCTTTAGAAATGAGAGCTATCAAATAAATTCTGTTCCCACTAAAATGAGAAAAAAAGGAAACAACAAAATAGAACATATAAAATTCAGATAGAGGGAATACTTTGGAAGAAAATGCATTTCAAAAATGGTATCACAATTTTGCAACTACTTTGCACACTCAAAAAAATTGAATTTTATGAAATAATAGATCCACTATGGGATAATACAGGAATAATATATGGAATCAGTGAAAAAGAAGCTGTTGGAACAAAAGAAAGAAATTGAGAGGAAAATAACACCACAAGAAAAAAAAAAAAAGTAATGTATTAAAAACAGAAAAGAAGAGACTCAGTAATGTAGAAAACCCAGACAGGATTGAGGACAGGGTTGTGAAAAGTCACACAAAAATAAGAAGTCATGAAGAGTTAAGCACTTAAAAATACCAAAGTAGATGTGAAGAAAAATGGAAAGCTAACATATGGTTATTATATGCTGGCAGGGGTAAGGGGGTAGGGTACAGAATAAATAAAACCCACAAAAATTCAAAAAAAATAGTCTCCGAAAGAAGAAAAATCCTCTCTATAGATCAAAAATATTCAGTTTGCTTTAAAAAATGCTTTTAAGAATCGCCAATATCAAGATATATATTTTAAACCTCAGGGATAAAAAAAAAAAACATTTGGAAAGAAGATCACTTAAAAAGTGCAGGGAAATGGGAATGCTTAGGAATTTTAGGGTTTTTCAAATTACAGATGTAAAGACAATGGAATATTGTTTTTAGAATTTTCAGGTTAAAACTGTATGTATCATCCAAATTGATACATTTAAGAAAATCATATTCTCAAATGTATATGTATATATGTCTCCCATGTTTAATTCTCTCAAATTTAATTTAATGTACTTAAAACATAACCCCAACTTCCATTTCCAGCAAGATCGTGGATTAGATTCTAGAGTTGTCAGATACAGCAAATAAAAATACA